AGTGTTATTAACAAGCCTTCAATCACCGAGACGCCGAATTGGCAGGAAAAGGTCATAATCGGAAGCAGAAGTTGAGCAAACAAGCAATCTGACCTCCCTCTGTGCTTCAGAAGACTCCTGCCAATGGAAAGAGAGGCTACAATTGAGATGGCACCTCTTAGGCCTCTTCAGTCTGAGTGGACTTTCCCGATAAAAGCCTTTGAATGCCCAGCACGTAAGGGGATTCCAATCTAACAAGTTCAGTGTTTGTTTTCTGCCTCTTTAATAAATGGTGAATAATAATAACAGCTGTTTTACTTAAGATTGGTGGCTGAGCATACCAATCATGCTGCATTGTGAAAGAAAAAACAGAATGGCATGACTTTTTGAGCTATAGGACAGGGGTCTCCAACCTTGGCAACTTTAAGACTTGTGGATTTCAACTCCCAGAGTTCCTCAGCCAGCAAAGCAAAGCTGGCTGAGGAATTCTGGGAGCTGAAGTCCACAAGTCTTAAAGTTGCCAAGGTTGGAGACCCCTGCTATAGGAGATCCTTGTTAAGCACTAACAGCAATGGGAAAAGTGCATAACAGCTCTACAATATGGCACATGACTTTCTAATTCAGTTTTACCTACACCAGCAATGGGGAACAGATGCTGGAGGAGATTTATAGCTCCCAGTAGCCCCTGGCCAATGCGGAAACATGCTGGAAGTAGTAATTTACAACAATCCAGGTAAAGCAAGCTCCAATCCCTCTCCTATTCAACATTGACCAGTGACATCCCCCCCCCCCCCAATATTTTAGATAGTGTCTTAGATTACTGGAAATTCCTAGGATTGAATCAAGGATATTCTGTATTTATTGCAGGTATATTTTGCAAGCTACAGCGTATTTTGATTTTAAAAAAAAGTTGCAGCAGAATACTGAATTCTTAGAATCCTGAAATGTCAACAGCCATCCCCTCAAAAGATAATCTTTTAAAAATTATTAAAGCAATCAATCAAGGAGCTGGAACATCTACTTAATGGGGAAAATCTACATTTAGAAATTCTTAGTTTGACTAAAATCCAGTGAGGAGAACATTATACAGATATCTGCAATTATCTATGGTGTGGGAAAAGTAGATATGTCCATCTCTCAAGAGTGTTATAAGTGGTGGTCCTAACTAAAAAATGAATGATTCAGGACTGTAATTACGTACTTCCTCAGACCCAGCATTTTTAAACTGTGGAGTCTGTTGGCTAGAACAAGATTAATGATGGCCACTAATTTGGAAAGTGGTCAGGTTCATGGACAATTCAGCCAGCAGTAGCCATCATGGTAGCTATAGATCATTTCCAATATCAGAGGCAGCAAGATTCATCCATCAATGAAGCAAATGAGTAGGAGGAAGAGCTAGGAAAAACCTCAGGAGGCTCCTAGCAATTCATGAAAAATAGTTAAATCAATGTTTTTCAAACTTGGCAGCTTTAAGATGTAAATAGTATGCTGGCTGGGGAATTCTGGGAACTGAGGTCCACACATCTTGCCAAGTTTGAAAACATTGAGCTAAATGAAGCAAAAGCCATAGCTCTGAGACAATTTTCTGTCTTTTATTCAAATTTCTATCAGCAAATAGCTTTGTTTGTTTTGCTCCCATAAGATATTTAGGCAAGAGTTTTCCTATCGTCTTTAAAAAAAATTTTTTTTTAAAGCATGTGTTCAATGATATAGCAATATTTCCCAATTTAAAGCTCATTGAGTCAGCTCCCATCAACTACTGCCAATATGGCAAAAAGCAGACTGTGAAATTCATCTCAGTGCAAGCACATATTCCCCCAAACAAGAAGCTCCATTCCAATGCCACCCCATAATTATACTTAGGCTGTTCAAGGGAGGTTTTTGCCATTAAAATAGAATATACATTTACTGCAGTGGTGCTATTCAGCCGGTTCTATCTGGTTCGGGCGAATTGGTAGCGGCGGCTGCAGGAGACTCAGCCCACCCACCCGGACGTCATCATGTCCCATTTTTTACACTCTGCGCATAGGTGGCGTGTGCGCTCCTATTTGCAAACTGGTAGCGAAGCTAAGTGAATACCACCCCTCATGGCTTATTTGTGGTAGAGAGAGGTTTCCCTCCCACCTTCCATTAACAATTAACAGTGATCAAAAATTTTCCCTTACCCTAAACAAGATGTGGTATCTCAATTTTTGGGGCTCAATTTAGGACATTATCTCAATTCCTAATTCTTCATATTTATATACTGAGCTGCTTTTTGTACCTGGATTTTCAGAGCTCTATTTAAAATAGTAAGCTTGTTTGCAATCTGTTGACTCCAATCAGAAGCATTCCTTTATTTGTATTAACTGAGTTTTCCATTATGGCTAATAACACAAGTTAGGAATTAGGGAAATTCTTACTGCAAGCTGGGGACTGATTGATTTCACTTTGTTCATCTCACTGGGCTTCCTGATCGCATGGATAATCCATGTGCACCATCCCAACACAAAAGTGATCTCCCCTCAGCTCTTTGTACAGAACAGGTGATTGACTCAGAAGTACTTACAATCAATAATAGGTGAGATGTTATAGCAGTGATATTTTGCTACCATCTCATGTTGCTTTTAACCATTTCGGCACTTCAGATTTCTGAATAAATCTACAGTTCAAGGCCATTGGCTAACACATTCCATTGCATCCTCCATAGCCAAGAAACAAAGCACTAGATTTAAGCTAGGCAAACTGAGGACAAGCTTGATATCAATACTTGAGATCTCTAGCAGACTTTGAGCATCATCTGGCTCTAACACAATATTTCCCTGAGTGCATTCGCTAACTCTCTCTGAAATGAATTGGTGGTGACCTATTTACTCCCTACCCCTGGAGACACTCTGTGAAGATAAAAACAACACTGAAAGGACACTGGGCAAAAGGGGAAAATTGGAGGCAGAACATTGGGACTACTTTAGACAATTTGATATTCTCCAGAAGTTTTGGGTTCAAACTTCAACAATCCTTGCCATTGGGCATTCTGCCTGGAATCGATGGGAGTAAATATTCAATATATCTGAAGAACATCAGAGGCCTTCACTGTCCCTTAATCCACCTCTCACTAAGTTGTTCTAGCAACAAGGATTTTTTTGCTCTACATCTGTATAATATTTTATCAGTGACAACCTCATTTTGTCAGCCCAATTTTGTGGGAGTAGGAAAAATGTCTTTCGACCCTCAATCCACAGTGGTAATGCTTATTATTAAACACCTGGCCAATATTTATTCATTATTCATCTGCAGGGGAAATGGGCATGTGTGCCAAGACTAAAAGCAGGAATGACAACTTGAGGACCATTCATCATTTTTATCAAGCTATGGTAGGCACATGTGTGTGATTGTATATACACATAAACACACCCCAACTAATCTGAACAGGAAAAATGATTTCCAATTTGAAATAGATTACTCTCCATAGAGTTTAAAATGTCAAATAAAACATTAATTCCAGGCCAGGGGACGGTATTCACTAAGGTAATTAATATATTGTGGGTGTTTCTACAAAAACTCCCACTCCAACCTACTTCAGAGAATGATGAGAATAAGGGCCTGTTTCTCTTCTTAATGAAAAAAAAAAAGCTAAGGATTTGCTGTGGGATAATTGAAGTGTATTAACATGACACTGATAGCAGGGGTCTCCAAAGTTGGCAACTTTAAGACTTGTGGACTTGTGGACTTCAAATCCCAGAATTCCCTAGCCAGCCATGCCATGAAAGAATAAGCTGGCTGGGGAATTCTGGGAATTGAACTCCACAAAGTTATCAAATTTAGAGACCCATGCATTAAAGGAAGACTTTGTGGTAGGGTTGTGAGCACTTCTGGTTCGGTTCCGAAAAGATGCTTTGCAGTACACCGGGAGACACCCCATTCCAGGAAATGACACAAATGCTTTCAAGAGCTTCAGGGAGGTTCTCCTTTCATGCTTCTGGAGCACCTTCTTGGAAAAGAAAGGAAATCACTGTGTGGTGCTAAAAAGCTATCTTCTGAAAGAAAGATATCAAGATTAATAGGTACAAGGTGGAACCATCAAGAGGGAACAATGGAAGTCTTTGGAAATGAAAGGATCAGAGAGTGGTTTGAAAAACTGTATTCCTGTAGGATCATATCCCCTGAACTGTATTCCTGTGGGATCCCAGCTGGTCCAGAATTCCCAGTCATCCACTCGAAAGGCAGCTGCTTGTGAATTTTGGGGAGTGTCCCCAATAGCTGACATATCTCCAGGGAACCTAAATCTCATCAGCCTGACCTCTGCAAATGGTGGGCCTTTGGAATATACTTCAGAGCCACGAAGAAATTATAGTGTGCATGTGTATGTATATGTGTAGAAAAGGTGTTTATGTGTGTGATTCATACAGACACATGTTGCAACTGCTTTGCCAAAGATCAGAGAACCTAAATCTCATCAGCCTGTCAGCCTTCATCTCTGCAAATGGTGGGCCTTCAGAATATACTTCAGAACCACAAAGAAAGCATAGGATGCGTGTGTGTATGTGTATATATTGTGTTTGTATGTATGTGCGTCACACAGACACATATATGTCGAGACTGCTTCGCCAAAGATCAGAAAAGTCGGAAAACGACTAAGAAAGACGCTTGTCAAAGTCAGCTAATCTCCAGGCAGGCCAAAAAGACAAGCCTTCCATGGAGACTTCTTGGGAAGGTGATTCCAAGAGAACCTTCTCCCCGTTTCTTTATAAAGTGCCGGTTCGGTGGCCTTTTTTTTTTTTTTATCCCAAACCTCGGAAGCCGTCGGAGTGCGAGAGAGGCAAGCAAACCCCATCGCTCAGTTCTGAGGCGGTGGCGCCTCCGCCAGAACCGCTGAAGCCAACCCTCGCCTCCCCCCTGCAAGGAAATCTGCGGAGAAGGCGCGGTGTCCCTGTGCAGGCCCAAAACCCGAAGGCCGCTGGGTTTTCCGAAGGCTGCGCCTGCTCGGTGGGAACCGCGCCCGCCAGGGGCGAGGCTGGGGCAGGCAGGCAGACAGTGAGAGAGAGAGAGAGAGAAGACGAGGCTCCCACGTGGCCGCCGCCGTTACCTGCAGCCGCAACTCTCCACCACCATGTCCTCGTACTGTTTGTAAACCACGTTGTTGCCGGAGTCGGTGTAGAGGATGCTGATGGGGCTGAGTTTGGAAGGCACGCAGCAGCTGGGCGGGGTGGACTCGGGCGCCATGGAGTTCATGAGCGTCTGAATGATGGCGTGGTTGGTCGGCTCCAAGTGGGAGCGCAGCGGGAAATCGCACACGCCGTCGCAGTGATACGCCTCGTAATCCAGGGGCGCGATTATCCAGTCGTCCCAGCCCAGCTCCTTGAAGTTGACGTGCAGCGCTTTGCGGCTGCACCGGCTCCTGATTTTTTTGCTCTGGTTTCGCCCGCCGGCGGCCCGGCCCGCCAACGCCGTCCGCCGCCTCCGCCGCTTCTGTTTGGCCAGAGCGCCTTGGCTTAATTCGTGGGACCCCAGCGGGAGCTCGGAGCCGCCGCTCAGTGTCCGGATCTTCTCGCGGATCTCCTTGAAGAGGTTGTCTTTCCGCTTGGTGCGAGAAAAGACCACCAGCAGGGCCCTCTCGTGGGGCTGCGATGGGTGCTCCCGGCCGAAACCCAGCTGCCGGGGAGACAAGAGCTTCCCGGTCTGGGCCGAGACGATCCTTAGCCCAAAGCAGAGCGCGGGCGGGCGCTGGGGACGGCCGCCTGGCTCGGCCCAGGGCCTCAAGGCTGCCCAGACGTCGAAGACTTCCCACTGGGGCGCAGCGTCGCCGGAGCCCAAAAGATCTCCCGCTCTGGAGTCCAGAAGGCCCGGCTCCCGGTCTTCTGTTGGATCGGGGCAAATAGAGATCAGCAGGCGATGGAGCATCCCTTCCGGGGACGATGCCAAGCTCCTGTTTTCGGCGGCTTTCCGCAAGATCCTCAATTCCGCCCCTACGATTTCGTCCGCCTCCGCCAAGGTAGAGATGTCGAAGAGGTATTGCTGCCCGGCTTCCCAAGAAGAGTCGTCTGGAAGAGAAGAGAAATGGATGGGTGGAAGCTGCCTTGTTGAGCCCGAAGAGCAGGGCGGCACCGTCCCCCTGGCTCTGTACCAAAAGGGATTGCCTGCCTGCCCGCCCTGTCTACCAAGGCTTTAAGTGCCAGCTGGGCTATCCACTTTCCCTGCTCCCTGCTTTATTCCCACCAGTTTTTCGGACCAGTTGGACGCAGTTGCTGTTTGGATAAGCTTTTGGGGCCCCAAATTCTAGTTTTTTCCCCCCGATAAGAACCCCCATCACCCCAGAAGCGGGACTTGTTTCTTATCTACAAAGAAACTCAGACCACATACTTAATGCCTGTTGCAAAATAAGTTGAATCCACTGTTCTCCCATAAAGCGAGGTGAAATTGCGTTAAAATCGTGCTTTTCAGCATGTGCAGAATGTCTCAACACAATATGGAAAAGGAGTTCAAAATGGCTTTGAAAAATATATGCAGGGAGGAGAATAATTTGGGAGCTGAAATCATATCTAATTTTCAAAAGTTCAGATAGAGAAGATCTGCCCATAAAAATGATCCACCTTAAATCTTCCACCCTTGACAGGTCAAGAGACATTGAAAGAACTGTACAGCAAGCATCTGCATTTATTTCCCAGCCCAAGTAGGGAATGGGCTGGTGGGGGTGGGGGGTGGGAGAGAAATGGGCCCATGTTTTTCTTCCCACACTACCCACCCTCTTTATTGCTATGAGCCAAGTTAAACATTTCCCTGGTCTGTCAAGGATCATTTTATTTGTTCACATGTGTGCCTACTTGCACATTTTCTTTATTTAAATGCTCCAGCAGAGAAGGTGGAGGAAGAGAATAGTGTTGAGTGAGTTAATCCCTTATGGAGGTGACCTATCTGAATCCCCTTCCTATCTCAGCTCGTTTATGTTAGAAACCAGACATGAACTTTTCCTGGGATTAATTAAAGTAACCAGATGTTGCAATAAATATACACCCTAACATTAAAATAAATAAAGGGAAGGAAGAGGCAAAATAAATGAAAGAATGAAAAAAAAGATTCTCATATGGGCTTTCTCAACAGTACTGTAGGATGTGGTTCCCTCAGCCACCTCCCCAAATGCTGGATAAAATGAACCACCCGTGGCCAAGTAAGGTGAGCAGTGAAGCAAGGGCCTTCTGGCCTTTGGAATGTTGCTGAGCTATAGTTCTCAAAGGGCTCACTTGAAATATCCTAATTAGAGCTGCTGGGAATTGTAGTTCAGCAGTACCTGGCAGTATTACTTGACCTTAATTTACCTCTGAAGCTAAGTAGGGTCAGATTTGGTTAGTATTTGTGGGAGAGACCATCAGGAAATTGGGAAGGGGGAGAAAGAGGGTGGATTCTGGGAGGAGATAATGGCAAATTCCTTCAACATAGCCATAGTTACATAGGCCCATGAAGCCGCTGGATTTCAAAGGGACTGGATCTTTCATAGCTGGAGGATGGGGCCCACTGCACTCATTAATTATGGGGCTTGTTAATATATTGATTGAAAGATGACGATGCTGGCCACTTGCAGTGACCAACTGGGTGCTTCTGGGAGAAGCCTCTTATCATTTTTCTTTCTTCCCAACAAGAGCAATCAAATCAGTTTCTGCCACCCCGAACAGGGAGCCAGCATAGAACCGCTGGAGCAAATAGCCGCAGAAAATCTTGCACGTCTGAATGCGGGTCAGAATCAGCATCTTCCTTTCCCGATCTATGGACCACCCGGTGTATTGGGGATGGATGACTTGGGTCTGCCCTGCTGGCTGGGAATTCTGGGAACGGCGATTCCCACACTTCACGGGATCGCCAACTTGGCGATCCGAACAGATTTGAAACGGGGTGTCCTGTGTCTGGTCCTCGCATCCTCCATTGAACTCGATGAATTGCGAAAGAGGCTTTCCTGCTTGGCTCTTTGGAAGTCTCCTCTCCTTGCAAGCGGTGGCCATCCCGAGAGAAAAAGGGGGAAGGCGGCGTCGGGGGCAGCAAAGAACGAACCAGAGCCCTTCAGAGCGTCACAGACTATTATTCCGCTCGCCCAGCGCTCCCAGAGTAGCGTCTCCTGCCTTCTCTGCACCCGCGGCCGAGCTCGGCGCGCAGACCGGAGAAGCCAGCAGACGGCTATCTCATCTTAGGTCGGCCAGGCTTGCGATCCCCATCGTCGCCAAGCAGCCCTTGAGGCTGTGTAAAGCCTCCCTCCTTCCTGTTCAAACTGGATTTTCTTGAAAAGTTGCCTCTTGAAAAAGCACCTTTGGTTCAGATGCTGAGCTATCCCTAAGCAAGGATCCTAGGCCGTGTCTTCACTAACCACGGCCTTAGGAGGCCTCCGCGGCATCTCAAAGCCATCAGGACTCCAGAAATCTCGACTCCTACTTCTGCAGCATCGGGACCAAACTCAAATCAAACCTGCCCTGATATTCTTCCCCTGCAGCTCGATCCACTGAAGCTGCCTTTGGTGTGCCCTCTAAAACACCCCGACTTTCTTTCGGGGTTGCTCACAGTTCATCCAAACTCACAGTCTCCTGTTGCACTTTATGCTTGGAGAGCAGACCATAAATTGCTGATTGCTGACTAAAGTGAAAAGTTCAGGGTACAGACGTGTGGCCAGGTATTTGCAGGAGCACAAGTCTCATCCTCCATCCTGGTGGAGTTCAATGAGAGTTGGAGTCCTCCAACTGCTCCCGAATAATATTTTTAAGCAGCTGACAACAGCAACTGGAGACCTTTAGATGAACGTGTTCTCTATTTAAAGATCGGATAGGTCTTAATACAAGAGTTTTGGGGTTTGTAGGTAGTTGCAGGTGCTGTCCTTAACCTTAAAGGCACATTTTGATATTTTAGAAAGTGTTGTTTTTTGTTTTTGGATTTTTTTCTTCTTCTTCAGAAGAGACCTGCCAGGGTACGCCAGCCTGCGAAGTCTAAACACAACGTGATTCCCTCCCGTTTCTATTGTTTTCTCCGAGCGATAAAAGAAGGAGTAATGATGTAAGTCCGAGTCACTGAATTAAACGAGGCTTATTCCGAAATCAGCGAACAGAAAAACATTCGGGTGGTTAGAAATAAAAAAATAAATAAAAATAGGACAGACAAAACATAAACTAGCTAATACCCCTCGCACTGCTGTTGTTTCTGTTAGAAGGATCGCGCAAATCAGTTTAATTTCCTTGATTTAGGGAGCCTTCTCTAATTGAATCAACAATATTATAAAAAAAATTCTTTTTTCTGTGATCACTCAACTCCTTAATGATTCTGTGCAATTAACAAATAAAAAAGAAATCATCAAAAGATCATAGCAGGTCGAAAGAGTAATTCAACCAGTTCAGACTCCACAATCTCCCTATCTTATATCCTCTAGTCACACGTCCTCCTAAATCCATTAATTTATCCTCGGCGGCTTCTCGCCGACATACAGAAACATGAACTTTATCGGATGATGTGGTCCTTCATCGGAAGATTCATAGGACCTGCGTTTGTGAATACAAATATAAAACAAAGCTAAAAATTCTTTTGGCAGAGATTCCAATCTACGCGTAGGCACGATATATTTCTCTAAGGATGATCAGTTACAATACACCTAATGCAGGTCCCCGATCTGTATCTTCCAAGCACGTGGAAGATGTAGATCGGGGACCTGCTCCAATTGCGGGGACCAAAGGTTGTAAGGCAGCCTCGCGTTCCGGTACAAAGAGGGCTCTTTGATCAGACGCCCCCCCCCCACTTTTCCAACCCTATTCATTAGGAAACAGCCTGTTTGATGTAGTAGTTAAGACACTGGGCTAGAACCGGAAGATTAGGAGTTCTAGTCCCATTTTAGGCACGAAGCCAACTCTGTGACCTTGGGTCACCTCTCTCCCTCAGTCCTAGGAAAGGGGGCAATGGCAAACCGCGTGTGAAAAACCTTGTCAAAAAAACTGCAAGGACTTGTCCAAGCAGTTTTGGAGAATCGGACATGATTGAAGGGAAGAAAGAAAAAAAAAAAGCACCAATATTAGGAAATTTGTGGGCGCAGATCCCGCGTGACTCAGACGGCATTGTGAGCCTTGGTGGCGCAGCAGACTAAAGTGCTATTAAGTAGCACCAGCTGCCTGCAATTACTGCAAGTTCAAATCTCACCAGGCTCAAGGTTGACTCAGCCTTCCATCCTTTCGAGGTAGGTAAAACGAGGACCCGGATTGTGGGGGCAATAAGCCAGGTTTGTATAAAATAGAACACCGCTTGGGGGGTGGGGCAAAAAAAAAGCCCTACTAAGCAGGTATATACAAAAGTATGAAGGCTATTGCTTAACGCATTGTAAGCCGCCCTGAGTCTCCGGAGAAGGGCGGCATATAAATCGAACCAATAAATAAATAAATAAATTGTGGAAGGCTGGCGTTTCAAGCGCGCACCGTGTCCCGCGTCCCCAAGGAGATCCGACAACCCCGCTCTCCTTACTTGAGATCTTTCATTTCGTCTCTAATGGGGGTGTTGGGGGAACCTTTGCTCCCCTAACACAAACCGAAAGAACCTAGGAGACAGTCACTCTGTCTAAACCTTTCTTTGGAGTCGCTTGTAGCTTTAAAAGAGCCTTTCTCCCTCCCAGCGGTACATCTTTACAAGGCAGTGTTGCCCTCTACCCGTTTCTCCTTTGACTTTGGTTCAGTTACAATAACGGGCGACTAAGTTTCATCTGGTAGGGTTGGTGGGCTGTCTAGCCATCTCTCTCTTTCTTTTTTTCTTTCTTTCTTTCTTTCTTTCTTTCTTTCTTTTTCTTTCTTTCTTTCTTTCTTCCTTCCTTCCTTCTTCCTTCCTTCCTTCCTTCCTTCTCCTTCCTCCCTCCCTCCTCCCTCCCTCCCTTCTCCTTTTCTATTGTTTTCACGTGGTGTTTCATCCAATACAGATCATTTGGAAGACATTCCTGCCGAATGCTGAAACTAGAAGAAATGTTTGTCAGAAAAGAGAGGATGGATCGAGAAGTTGTTCGGGCGAGTGAAGCGTTTTTACGGCCTGGGTGTCTTTCCAGGCCAAAGAAAAGAAAGACGACGCTTAGGGGGAAGCATTCAAAGCAGTCGGAGAGTTCTATCTACTCTGCAGTTTTAATCTCTGATTCCCCCCCCCATTCTCTTTTCATTTCCACCTTCTTCTCCGTCTTTTGATACGTAGTGATTTTCAGTCACCCGCAGCGTCCAACCCTGGAAAAAAAAAAAACCCTCGCACGAATTCGCGTAGCAATAAATCACCAAGTTCGTAAGGCAGCCAGAATTAAAAGGCAAAAAAAAAAAAAAAAAAGGTGCGCAGGCCTTTAGGAGAGGAAAATTCAGAGCGGGCAACTTTTAACTTGTCCCCTCCCTGAGTTCCTTCATTTGGGCTGCAAAGCGCGCTTCTCCGGTTGGATTGCAATTCCGGCTAATTATAGAGACCGGCCAATCGCGGATCAGCGCTCCGAGACACTCTTGCTATTGGCTCGCCGTTTCGAGTCAAGGTGACAAGCTCCCCCCCGACCCCCGGGTTGGCAGCGGTGGCGGAGCAAGAGTCCCGCCGCCACCGGCAGGGAGGCAGATCAAACAGCGAGGTAGCCGCGCCGCCCTTTCTTAACCATCCCTTGCCCGAAGAAGTTCAGCTGCAAACATCTCGCAAAGGTGTCTCTCTCTCTCTCTCTCTCTCTCTCTCTCTCTCTCTCCCTCCCTCCCTCCCTCCCTCCCTCCCCCCGTCCGTCTGTCCATCTGTCCATCTATCCATCTATCCATCTATCCATCCATCCATCATCATCATCATTATCTATCTATCTCCCCTCTCCCTCTCTCTCTATCGCTCTCTCTCTCTCTCCCTCTCTCTCTATCACGCTCTCTCTCTCCCCCTCTCTCCTATCGTTCTCCCTCTCTCTCTCTCTCTCACACACACACACACACACTCCCGAGGGGGCCCAGCAGGGCTCGGAAGCAAGAGAGAGGAAGGACTTCTGTTGTCTTGACTCGGCGGGCGAGTGTCCCCTTTGCTGTCAAGGCAGGCCAACCCAGTTCCGGGAAGAAGAGGAAAAGCCGCAGAGAGGCTGTCTGAGGTTACCGGGCGGGGGGGGGAAAAGTGTGCTGAACCGCTAGAGCAGGAGACGGAGGGCAGCAGCTGGGAAGTCCTGCCCGAGCGGCGATCGAATAAGCCACAGACGTGTCGGGGTCGTGGGATTTGAAAGGAGTTTCCTAAACTGGCCGCTCCGACCTTCGCTTCTTCCCACCCGCCGTGGCCTTCCACCTGTTAATAGTTACCCACTCCATCCCGCGCCTGCCCATCCGTCGCTTCAGCCAGTCAGCCTCTCGCCCCTTCTACTCCAGGAATCAGGTTGGCTTCAGTGCAGCCGCCGCCTACCGGGCAAGGGGAAAGGGAGGCTGGGAGTCGCCTCGCCTGCCCCACTTTGCATCTGATCTCAATACCCCCTCCCCAAAAAACGGTTACAGTGAAAACCACATTTCCCCTGACTCAATAAATCCAATATCTTTTGAATCCCCTTCAGCTTTGCTTTTCCTTTCCCCGATCTTTCTGATCTTCAATTTTCCTCCCTAAAGAGCAAACGATTTCCCAGTCGTGAAACCAGGAACTCAGTCACCTGAGCCCAGTTTTACTTCTAAGGTGGCGCCATTATCACATTCGGGCACCTCGCTGATCCCCCAAACCTCAGATTCTTCAAAAGGGATCTGCAGGCTCGATTCGATTTGGGCCGGGACAGAAACTCCATAAAGGGGAACACTTGGAGTTGTTTGGTGATTTAGAAGCTGAGAACAAACAATATTAATGGCCGAGTCCTTGCTGCTCTCGGAGCTTTTGTTGCAGGCGTATCATTACCAAACTAGGTAACAACATCAGTGCTATTGGTTTGTTTGTCCTCTGCGGCCACCACCGCATTTCATATCCCCTATCTTCGAATTATAGCAGTTTGGCCCAGGCTCGGTCTGTCTGCAGTAATTTTCTCCTTGGGTTATTAATGTTTAAAGGAACTTTGCTTCAAGATCGTTTATGATATGGAAACTGAAAACCGTGAAATCATTTTTATGTTTTTTTTTTGGTCGCAAAGTCTAGATCACAAAAATAGTCATCCTGCAAAAATCATTAAATCCTAGACTCTAGTCTAAAGGGGTGACACGGTTAGTTTGGGTTAGATTAGGAAGGATCCTATCGATCTTCTGTATTAGACCCGATTAATTGGGGAGTAATTTGAGGAGTAGGGAAAGTTACTTTTCAAACAGCTTCTGTCTGGGGTTTAGTATCGTGGGGTCGATTCCTTATAGTTGGATTCGTTGTGATGGTTCATTCTTTTGGCAAAACCAAACACTTCCACACTCCGCAAAGAATTGGTGAGAAGACGGCGAAAAAGAACGGACGAGGCTAATTAATTCCCAACAGGACGACGGGGCTTTCCTTTTCCCCCAATTCCCAAATCCATCGCCCCCATTTACAACAAAAACCCCGAAGCAGAGCTAAACCAAAAACGGCTCGCGAGCCTACCGACCTCTCCTCACCCAACCACCCTCCACCCCAACCATCAAACCGACCCAGTTTAGACAGAAAGAGCACTTTTAAATAGCGGGGTGGGGTGGGGGAGCACCTCTCTTCTCCGTCAAAAATACTCCGACCCAGCCAATCCAACTCGCCATCCCGAGGAGGAGGAGGAGGAGAAGAGGAAGAGGAGAAGAGACTCCGGCGCAACGCGTTTTGGATGCAGCGCATTCCCGAGACAGCCCTGCGCGCAAACCTGGCCCGCTCGCGATAGAGCTCGGCCCAAAAATCAGAGCGCTTTTTATAAGGGGGGTGGGTGGGTGGGTGCGCCCGCGGTGGGCTTTCCGAGCGGTTGGTTCCCTCACTCGCTCGCTCGCTCACCTCGTGGTTGTGCCCGCGCCTGATCCACGAAGCCCGTGACGGTGTTGGGGCGACTTCCCGGGACATCGTCGATCTCTCCCTCAGGCCGGGGTGGATCCTGACCGGCGGCTAGGCGGCGGTAAAGCGCGATCATGTAGTCGTGCGGCGCCACCACCGTGCCGTTCCCGAAGACGCCTCCATCCCGGTTCAGTCGCCCGCCGGGCTTTGCCTTCCAGAGGCCGGGGGCGGCCGCCACCGCCGCGTCACCGGCCGCTGCCGGAGGCCGAACAACCGCGGCGTCCAGCTGCCCGTAGCGGAGGCGGCAGGCGCTCCAGAGGCAGCAGAGGCAAAGCGCCGCGGCCGCCCTCAGCTGCATGCTCTCGCAGGCCTCCCGCCGGTTTGGTAGCAGCCCAGGCTCGGCGGGCTCTGAGCGGCTGGCGCAGGGGCTTTGAGGGCTCCTCGGACTCCCCGGCCGCTTTTTAACATTGTGTTAACTCGACGCCGAACCAACCAGGACAACTACAGCGGCGGCAGCGGCTGGCTGGACCCTCGCAAGCGCCCCCTGCCGGCCAGTCGCCGCTACCCGCCGCCGCCGCCTGGCAAAAGGGCGCTGCTTTTTTTTTTTTTTTTTTTGCAAAGGCGGGGCAACGAGAGGCGGGCAGGGGAAAAAAAAAAAAAAAAAAAAAAAAAAGCGGCGGAAAATATAAACAGCCCCCAATATAAACAGCCTCGCTGAGTCACGTATTTGTTTTTACAAACTCTTCTTCTTTCCTTCCTTCCTTCCCTCCCTCCTTCTCGTTCCCCCTTTTTCCTGTTTCTTTCCCTCTCCCGGTGTCTTTTTGTTTTTTTTTTAAACCGAATCCGTCGGAAATAACACCAGCCGGAGAGAGCTGGCCGGGGCTCCCGGGCGCGGGCCGCTTGGCCAAAAAGTTGGACAGAGAGACTTGGATGTCAGCATCCCGTCCCATCCTTTCGGCTGGACGCTGCAGCAAAGCCGCCTTGGGAGGGGGTGGGATGGGTGGGTGGGAGGAAGAGGCGAGGCTGGCGTGGATTTTCCCCTCGAGTTGCGAAGGAGGGCTGGCGGGTGGAAGGGGGAGCTGGGAGAGCCATTGGATTCATCCGGCGGGAATTCTTTTTTTTTTTTAATTTGATTTATATGCCGCCCTTCTCCGGAGACTCAGGGCGGCTTACAATGCGTTAAGCAATAGCCTTTATACCTTTGTATATATTTTATACAAAGTCAGCTTATTGCCCCCACAATCTGGGTCCTCATTTCACCTACCTTTGAAAGGATGGAAGGCTGAGTCAACCTTGAGCCTGGTGAGATTTGAAGTTGCAGTAATTGCAGGCAGCTGATGTTAATAACAGTGCTTTAGTCTGCTGTGCCACCAGGGCTCTGTGCAACTAGTTTGATCAACCTCTGCGAAATACGGGACAGAAGTTGCGCTTTCTTCGATATCTAATTTTCAACTTTCCTGCCCTTTCGGATAAATCAGCTCCCGTCGCTCCTTCGAGAGGTTGAGAAGCGAGGAGGAAAAAACAAACAAACAAACAAACACTTGGATAATTCAGTATATTACTACTCCAGTAATCCCAGCGACAGACGAAGCAGTAGTGAGGTTTGGTGGTGGAAGCCAGAGTAGCTGACTGCGTTTAACAGATTAACTCCGCTGTTTCGGCTAGCTTTCGGCTCATAAGTCTAGTTCAGTGAGTCCAATTTAAACGGAGGAAAATTTCATTTTGAGCGACCAGACCGGGAACCGGATTGTAACTCCAAACTCGTTTTCAAAATGGCACCTCTGTTACTTCCACTGCTGGGTAAATAGGGCCGTTTGTGGTGTTGAAGTGATTGTCAAACTTTTCCTACTAGTGATCTGTTATCACTAGAGAATTTGATAGTAATAAAACGTTAGTAAGTACGTATAAGACACATGGCATAGATGTACTATTAGTTATACTGTATGCGAATTTTTATACTTGACTATGGATTCCCAATAAATCCCAAAGCAGACAGGCTACTCAGCTGACTCTGTTAAGTGGTCGCTTCTAACGTCAAGACCGCAGGATTCGCATTTTAAGGCGCTGTCAGGTGCTACGTAATTGGGAGTCCATCCCGCAGTAGAATAGAGGTATCCAATCTTCGACGGCCTGGAGGTTAATTGGAGAAGTGTGAAATGCGTTCATTTTAACGGACTTTGCCGAATAATTTCTTTGCTTTCGGCCTTTCCCAAGGCAGTACTAAGTCCCATTCGACGGAAGCGACTGGGAGGGCGTCTCCAGACCCCAGGACCCCTGCATCCCCCACCCCACCCCCAATTAGTTTGGCTTTTCCCAGATTGTTGGGGGGGGAGGTATTAATTTACATCCAACTTCCCGTTTCCAATGCGTTATAGCCGAGTTTATTTGGAAAGAAGCCTCGTTGGATTCATTGGTCCTTACTCCCAATTATGACCTCCGTCTGGGTGTTCATTGGTCCTTAACTCCGCTTACGGTAGCTACAATTTGCCCAAACCCTAGGGAATCTCTATGAGAGAGGCGGGTTACTCAAGGATAACCAAAACTTGGAAATCTGGTAATCGTGTAAAAAGTAGAAGCTTTATGGCTCAGTTCACAAGATGACAGATACTTTTTAAAAAGGAAATAAATGGCGACTTTGACTTTAACAAGGAAAATCGGTACATGTATGGGTTGCTCGGAAACACTAATAGGACCCAAACCTAGTCATCCTTCCGTCCCATTCTTCCCTAGAGCTTCATTCTAGTTACCAGTACTTTTTTAACCCTTTCCCTTTTCTTGAGGACTTTCTTGGTCTAAATTCAGACGTTTCTCTAATTTCCGATTCATATCACAAACCCACTTCAAGGCTAGTTAATTCAGTTCTTGCAATGCCGGATAGGACAGCCGTCTTTTCTCCAGAAAGAATCGAATCGCACGCAAAGTATTCTAGACTGGCGAAGATTTATTGGCTGGCGGCCCGGACAAGCCTTTTAATAGGGTGTATTCCAGACCGAAGACCGGCAGAGAAGTGGGTAACTTGGGAGGTGTTTGAAATGACTTCGCCTTCTGATCTTTTACCATTTATTTTATGGTAAAGGGGGATTTTGTTTCTCCATTGGAGTGGTGAGTCTTCTGTGGTTCGAGTTCTGTGTTCACTTTTTGTGTGTGTGTCCTCTTATGCTCCTCCCAACTTTCGGAATTGCTCAACTGAATTAAACATTTCAGTTTAATTCATTAAGAGTTGCCACCTGTGCATTTCATTTCACTTTTTTCCCCCTAAGACAAATCTTGGGAAATGCCCAAATGAAGCGTAGGGGATGGCTCAACCAAGAAGCCTTAAGAGAAGCCATATTGTGAATCCCAAAATTACAGAAATGAGCAATAATGGGCAGGCACATCTCGTTCGTGCTGAAGTGCCTTTGTGGTGGATGTTTTCCATGTAGCTGTTTATATGCTGAGGGGAAGAAGCAGCAAAGGGAAAGGAAAAAGAAACTCTCTATTCTGTATTGAGTGGCGAACCTGTACATCTTATCAATGGGGCACCATTCCCATCAATGGGGAATCCCATCGAATCCATCAATGGAGAACCAAGAGAGGGGCAAGAGATATGATTTTATTTTAGCCAAGATTATGATGGGATTGCTTTGGCCAAGACAAGAACAGGTGAATCGTGCTTTAAATCAGTAGTAGAGAAAGGGTCACAGAGATATTCCGAGAACTTCCACATTTTTCATCAAAAGTCAAGCTGCAGGTTTGCCTGTTGGCCTTCTCCAATCTGGCATGGAATTCTAATTCATTCAAAGTTACCTTGACTTCCAAGGAAGGATGCAACAAAAAGTTTGCAGTGCAGGTTCTTTGTGGATCTATTCAGAAATAATTCCCACTGAGTTCAGATGGATTATTTCCCCATTCACCACAAACAAGTGAAGCATTGCAGCATTAGACCTCAGCCATACAAATGAACAGAAATCATAATTTATCTATAATACAAGTTATTAGATTTAAAAAAATACTCTCATTGCAGATTACTGAGCTATGTGAGCTCACAGTCAGAGAGAGAAAGAGAGAGAAAGAGAAATTTAATCCTTGATATTTCAGTGTCCAAGATACAATATCCAGTTTGGTGATTCTTCAAATTAAACAAAGTCATTGAGCCCAAATAAGTTATACCTTAAATGTATTGCATCAATCCATTCCTTCCCCGCTATGGATCATAAACTAAGTTGATGCTAAGCATGCTATGTGAATACATTGTGGTTCGGGCCATAAATCATGACGAAGTAACCGCGGTTTAGCGCGAGGTACGGAACAGTCTCTTTCCTCCAGTATAAAAGCGACTGTCAACCGAGCACCAATAAAAATCGGATGTGCTGAAGAAGAGGCGTTCCTGGGACGAGGGTTTGCCAGAGGGAGGTTTAAGATTGCCTGCCCATTACATCAGAATAATAATAATAACTTGTAGGTCATCTAGTCCACTCCCCAAGCATACCCTACCTACACCATTTCTGACAGGTGGCCGTCCAGTCTCGAAAGCTTCCAGTGATGAAGCTCCCACAACTTCTGAAGGCAAACTTTTCCATTGGTTGATTGTTCTCACTGACATCTAATTTCTCCTTATTTTTAGGCTGACTCTCTCCTTGATCAGTTTCCATCCATTATTCCTTGTCTGGCCCTCAGGTGCCTTGGAAAATTGCTTGACCCCCTCCTCTTCTGTGGCAGCCCCTCAAATATTGGAACACTGCTATCCCGTCTCCCCTGGTCCTTCTTTTCACTAGACTAGCCAGGCCCAGTTCCCTGTAACCGTTCTTCATGTGTTTTAGTCTCCAGTCCCCTAATCATCTTTATTGCTCTTCTCTGCACTCTCTGCACATCCTTTGGGTTAATTGACAGGGCTGAGCATCGCGGAGGTTATCAGCCCTTGGGGTGTTTCGCATCCCGGAAGAGCCCCCGCCCCGAAGTTTTCGCAACCAGGTCCCAGCCAGTTTGGAAGCTGCCTGTAAAACCCACGAGAAGATCGAATCCCGCAAAGCAGGCAAGGAACTCCGGGAGCCTCAGGACCTTTCTTGCCCCCCTCCTCTCTCTCTCCCCTCCCCTCAGGCTTCATTGAGCCTGAGTGGCGCAGCAGACTAATGCTACTGTTAAAGGTAGTATTTAGCTTCCAGATGCCTGCAATTACTGCGAGTTCAATTTTCACCAGTTCAATTCTCACCAGGCTCAAGGTTGACTCAGCCTTCCATCCTTTCTAAGGTAGGTAAAATGAGGACCCGGTTTGTGGGGGCAATAAATTGACTTTGTATAAAATATACAAAAAGTATGAAGGCTATTGCTTAACGCATTGTAAGCCACCCTGAGTGTCCGGAGAAGGGCGGCATATAAATA